CTCAACCCAAAAGCCTTCGCTTGCGACGGATCAGATTGGCCTTGTCTCGGATAGAGCAGGTGTTGAGCACGATGACGTCAGGGTCCTCCTGACTTAACATTCGGATCTTTCGGGTAGGCTTGGTGTCTAGAGATCTGTGTTTGAGCTTCAGGGGTGAAGGAGTTCTCTGGAAGTTTAAACAAGGACTTACAGCTCGCGGTTCCAGGACGTAGGATCTTCCTCGTCCAGTGCAGGCCTTAGCAACTAGAAGCGGTTGTGCGGTGTGTTGTGCTGCAATTATACCGGCCCTGCTAAGTCCTTTTCATCCGAAGGGTTTTGGTAGTTTTGCGTTTGGGGGTTTAGCGGGTTGGGTTTCGAATAATCCTGCTTCTTAGGTGTAGGTAGGGGCCATTGCCATATCAGAGTTCAACTATTCTCTGACACCCGCACTTAATCAGCTGAGCTCTCTTAACAGGCGTGTTTGGGCTGTTTTTGAAGGTTCAAGGTTTCTGGTGTCTGAGGGGTGAAGACTCCTCCTCTAGAGACTTTGAGTAGCTGTACACGCCCAGGGTTTTCTTTTTGACTTTCAGGGGTGTAGGGGTCTGAGCTTCAAGGGAGTGAGGTTTCGGGTCTGGCAAGCAAGTCCGCACCTCATGCCCAAAACTTTCGACCCCATGCACAACCCTTGTCTTGCACAGCATATTTCACGCCTGAGGTTTGGGGCTTTAGGGTTTATGCAGCTCGGGCATCTTCTGTCTCAATGCGTAACATGGCGCTTTGAAACTAACTAAGACCTCTTCTGGTTTCCAAACATCACCTGAATCACAAGGGCACTTCTTATTCTTCAGATTTTGATATTTAAACCCCCAAAAAATGTGTAAAAGGGTACTGCTGGGGGATCTAGACCCACTCCCCTAAACCCTACATCCTAAACCCTCAGCTTCACTCCCATCCCCTTGCGTCCCTCGCCCTTACCTTGGCCGCGGCCGGCACCAAACCTGCAGCTTGTAGCTGGCCTGTAGGATGGTATGGTTTAGGATTTAGGGTTTTAGGGTTTTAGGGTTTAGGGTTTTAGGGTTCAAGGTTTTAGGGTTTAGGGTTTAGAGGTTTAGGCTTACAGGGTTTAGGGTTTTGGGGTTTAGGGTTGAGGTAGGGTTCAGGGTTTTAGTTTCTGGGGTTTAAGGTTTATGGTTTAAAGCCCTGCCTTCCATTCTTTCAGAGAACCCTAAACCCTAAAACCC